GTGTGGATATGACTATGAATTAGGCTGTGAGGCTTTTGGTTCCACAAGCAAACTTTGATTCCTCAAAGCTCGAAGTGTTATTCTTAGGGGAATTACTGCAGAACAACACTAGAGGAGGGATTATTACGCCACGGGCTTATATTCTTTCTCACTGTGACTTCACTGCTAACTTAACCTTAACCATCTCCAATGTCATCAACCTGGATCAACTAGAAGGCTGGTACAAGAAAGACGATGTGGTTGCCGAGTGGAAGAAGGTGAAAGACGAGCTGCGGTTACATATTCACTGTTGTGTAAGCGGTCCAAGCCTGTTGCAGGATGTGGCTGCAGAGCTTAGGTACCACATTTTCTCCAAGGAATTGCCTTTGGTAAGTCTTCTTCATGTTTCTTCTCGTTCTTCTTAAGAAATGTGAAAATGGGGAATCTAAATCTTTGGCACTGTGCTTAATGTAGGTACTAAAAGCTGTGCTCCATGGAGACTCAGTTATGTTTAGAGAAAACCCTGAGCTAATGGATGCCTATGTATGGGTTTATTTTCATTCAAGCACACCTAAATACAACCGGATCGAGTGTTGGGGACCTCTCAAGGATGCTACAAAGGTATGATCTAATCCTCACTGCTCAACTTACGCTTCCTTCCATATAGATGCATGAAATGTGAAATCTCTAGTTGTGTGTTTTTTGGTGGTGAAGGGAAAGCAGAAAGGCAATCTTCAAGGCTTTTTGAGTTCAAATCCTTCGACGAAGTTAATTCGAACTAAGTCAATCTTCCATACTCTATTTACGTTTCTTCTGTGAGACAAAGTTTGTACATTCTCGTTTTTGCAAGTGATTTAGAGTTCTTGATGAGCATCTGACACAAGTGCAATCTGCCAACATTCAATTGTTCATACTTGGAAAATTTATGAGAGCATTGTTTCTGAATGTTTCTTCGATATGAGTTGCCTATATTCAACAAGAGAAACACAACGATTGTTAGAGCTCAAAGTAGAGTACAATCCATCTTCTCCTCTCTATTAAAAAAAAAAAACTCTGCCTTCTGTTTAAATACAAAAAAGAACCATCGCCGTTCTGCAGTTCTGGTGTCTGCTCGTAAGAACTGTCACTTCCGCGAAGACCCGAACCGAAGGCATGGATTCAGTTCAGTTCGGTTCATTCGATTTTCCAGTTGTTCAGGTTTTGTATTAGTATTAGATTTCTTAATTAAATTCGGTTCTGTTTTGGAGCTAATTTTTCAATAATCGAATAAACCGAACTGAACCGGACCAAATTATCAAACATTCAGACCTCCGAGTTGTGTATGGTAAGAAGATAATTCGTGGGGAAAAAAGAACACTCCGCACATGTATGTCCCAACTGCTCCGACGAGCCCATGGACTTTGCATGCCGTCCTCCTATTCGTACTTTTCGCGTCTCGTAGACCGCTGTTTGCTCTCCAAGAGCCCGACTTTAGCCAGAATCTTCCATGCCCAGCTCGTCAAAGTTGGATTCATACGCAATACTTTCTGGGGCAATCGCTGTCTCCAGGTCTACTTCAAATCCGGCTCCGTCATCGATGCTTTCCAATTGTTTGACGATATTCCCGACAAGAACATCATATCCTGGAACGTTTGCTTGAAGGGTCTGTTTGAAAACGGTTGTCTCAGTCACGCACTTGACGTGTTCGATGAAATGCCTGAACGAGATGTTGTTAGCAGGAATACTATGATTTCAGGGTCTGCTTCTTGTGGTTATCCGGAATATGCGATCAGGCTTTTCTTGGAGATGCAGACTTGGGTTATTCAGCCAACTGATTTCACGTTTTCCATTCTAGCTTCTCTTGTTTCTTGTGCTCGCCATGGGGAACAGATTCATGGTAATGTTATTTGCAGTGGCGTAAGTCGGTCTAGTTTGGTGGTGTGTAATTCACTGATGGATATGTACGGAAGGCTAGGAGTTTATGATTATGCTTTATCCATGTTTCTAGCCATGGAGGATAGAGATGTTATCTCGTGGAACTCTTTGATCTTGTGTTGTTCGGAAGCTGGCGACAAAGAACTGGCTTTGGATCAGTTTTGTCTGATGAGGGAAATGGGAAATCAACCTGATGAATACACAGTCTCAACAGTTGTGTCTATTTGCTCGGATATCCGAGACCTGAGCAAGGGTAAGCAGGCTATTGCTCTTTGCACCAAGATGGGATTTCTTTCTAACACCATTGTTTCAGGGGCTGCAATTGACATGTTTTCCAAATGCAACAGATTGGAGGATTCGGTTAAGCTTTTCGATTATTTGGAGGGTTGGGATTCAGCCTTGTGCAATTCCTTGGTCGTTAGCTATTCGTGGCATGGTTTTGGAGAAGATGCTCTCAAGCTCTTTATCCTCGCCATGAGGCAGAGTATTAGGCCTGATAAGTTCACCGTCAGTAGCATTCTGAGCTCGATGAATGTTGTGATGCTAGATCACGGAGCACAGGTTCATTCTTTGGTTATTAAGTTAGGGTTTGATTCAGACACGGCAGTAGCCACGTCACTCATGGAGATGTACTTCAAAACCGGGTTAGTTGATTCAGCAATGGGAGTGTTTGCCACAACTGATGGAAAAGATTTGATCTTTTGGAACAATGTGATAATGGGCTTGGCTAGAAACAGCAGAGCCACGGAGTCCCTTGCCGTTTTCCAACAATTGCTGATAGACCGATATCTCAAACCAGATAGAGTGACTTTAATGGGCATCTTGGTAGCTTGTTGTTATGCTGGCTTTGTTAATGAAGGAATTCAGATATTTTCTTCAATGAAAAGGCTTCATGGAGTTGAAGCTGGGAATGAGCATTACGCCTGTATAGTTGAGTTGCTGTGCAGAGCCGGTATGATCAAGGAAGCAAAAGACATTGCCGAGAAGATGCCTTTTGAGCCAAACTCTCATATCTGGGAACCAATTCTCTGTGCATCTCTGGATCGTGGAGACACGAGACTCGCTGAGACGGTAGCAGAAAGAATGTTAGGATCTGAACCAAAGTCATTGTTTCCTTATCTGGTTCTGATTAAGTTATACGAGATGACTTGGCGCTGGGAGAACTCGGTGAGGATAAGATACGCCATGAATAAACATAAATTGAATTGTGCTCAGGGATCGAGCAAGATCGGTATAAAGAGCAGTGTGTACAGCTTCGAGGCTGGCCAGTTGCAAATTCATGGAGGTCAAGATACTTATTCAATCTTGGAATTATTGTCTTGGGAATCTGATGATCACAAAATTCATTGGTCTGCAGAACATTCTCACTAACACGATTCATTTATTATAAAGAACTCCTCAGTTCCCAATTAGTAGTGATTTTTTCATATACTTTAACCTCAGGTTGTATCAATTAATCGTGGTTATGTCTAGCTTGATCTAAATTTCAATATTTCGTTCCATTAAAAAGGATTAATAA